CGGGAGTGAGGATCAGTGGTCGCATCATTAGACAGAAGCCAGTCGGACTGCACAGGGGACCTGCGAAAACATGTCCTGAGGTCCCGTGTGGGTACCGTACGCGGGGAGGGCCGGACAGCTTCCGGTCGGGATCATGGGAGAGAGGGGGGTAGGCTTCACAATGTGTGAATGTAAGCTGGGAGATACAGGGAAACAGAAAACGAACGAGAGAAAGTGAGAGAGATGGAGAGAAAGAGAGGGAGAGAGAGGTGGCATGGAGGGAGAGGCAGAATGACAGTCGAAACAATCCGACGAGCCGAAGTCCGTCTGGCGCGAAGGCTGCAAGCGCCATCCGCGCCAACCTCATGTGGCGGGAGGCACCGCTGTGCGAACATGGTGTGGGGAGGTGAGATTACCCTCCCCCCTGTCGCGGTCTGCGGGGACCCCGACTGGAAAGCAGTAGCATGACGTGGCAAGAAGGGCGAGGTTCCCTCTTTGCTGCACATCTGCAAACAGATAGACGCCAACTGTACACACGCTTTCGCGTGCGTGATACGGTGCCCTGACAGCGGCGGCGCCGCTTTTGGGCAACCCCGCAGCGGTCCAACAAGAAGGCAACCGAACTGCGGCCAACAGTTCACGAAGCCCACTGGGACGCGAGGCGCCAGCACTGGTGTGCCGCGCATGGGGCAGCAAGGAGGGCCTGGAGACTGTCCTGGAAGGACGCCCCTGCGGAGGCGGCAGGCTGGAAGGCCTGCTGAAAGCCGGCCGCTGGTGTTCGGCGGAGCATGTCAGGCAGCCGAGCTGACTGTTCGTGAACGTGCTGGAGAGATTGGGCGAGGCGGTTGGGTCGCTGGTGCAACGCGCTGCTGCGAACAATGAGGCCCGATTCACCGTCACCGTCAGGCTGCCGTGTAGCCGTGGAGACGTGATGCGCGAAGGATTGCCTGCGGTCGGACCTCTGGGTACCCGAAGTGCCGTATATCATGTGCCAGTGGTGGCACTTGGCCGTTCACTGCTGCCTGCACCCTGGTCCGCCTCCTCCTTCTCCTCCTCCTCCTCCTCCTCCGACCTCCCAATTACCTCCTCCTGATGGGAGGAGGCGCTGGCATGGTGGCGGTGGGGGCCTGGTGACAGTGGTCTGGACGGGGGGAACGCGCGCCGCCTGGCCTGCCCGTCGAGGGATATGGCTGGCGCGCGTCGCATGTGTCATCGTGGTCGCTGCGTTCGTCGTCGCCGTCGCCGTCGTTCATGGAGGCGCCCAGCCCGAGCGGGTCGAGTTCGTCTCCGCAGAAGTACTCCCGCTGGCCCGACCACGAATCGTCGAGATGGTCGACATAGTCAGGTCCTGGTGGACCGTCTTGGTCGTTGGGGCCACCTGGTGAGCCTGGTGGCTCATGCCACCCTCGGCCTGTGGTGAGAGGGTTGGGCTTCATCTTGCCGAGTTCAGCCCTAGAGTATCCCGCTCTTCTGTCAAGCAAAGGGAGCGTTTGGTGACGTGAGCCATAGAGGGCGACGGGTGTGCGATGGAGGACGGCAACGAACTTATGTTACCACTTGGCGGCGTTCATGAGGCTTCGTGGAAGAGCATGCAGGCGTGCGCCGGCAGTGGCGATGGATCGACTGAACTTATTCTTCAAGAGTGAGAGCGCAACATCAAGCATCCAAAAACTCATCCCCTCTTCACGTACGCCCTCGTTCTGCACCTCGAGCTCAAGCTGGTGGCAGTGTCGGGATAATCCTCGATCCCATCGTGGCACTCCTCCTGGCCGCCGACAGGAGGAAGCCAAATAAATACAGTAGGAGCTCAACGACAAGAAACCTTCAAACCGTAAAAACAACAACAAACAACAACAACAAGAACAACAACAGCAACAACAACAACAACAACAACAACAACAATCACTTTACCCGAACGCTCAGTGTTCTCACCAGTGCCAGGGTTTTCATGCGACGCCAGCCAATACCCCCACTTTGTGGGGGGGCAGTGCAAGCTCTACCAAATATCCACACGACTCTTCGCCACCACCCACACCCAGCTTCCCGCCCTATGACGTTCGGACACTTCACTTCGTGGCCTGCGGACGACCGTGGCTACTACACTGGCGTGGAGTACACACCCACAGAAGTTGTTAAGCCTACGTTCGTACACCCACAGAAGTTGTTAAGCCTTGTTAACCCACAGAAGTTGTTAAGCCTTCCACAGAACATCTGTTGCATATGATGCATATGGTACATGATACACATGATACACATGATACGTACTCACAAGATAGTTGATCACATCTTTAGGGCAAATTCCTGAGGGATGTGGGAATACACAAGAGAGAGAGGATATGGTTGTCCCGATGGTTAGGCGGACGTGAGTTAAGAAGCCCAATGGTTTTTGGAGATTTCGGCGTGCGCGCGCGAAGAAAAAACGAATGTGTCCCGCATGGTATTATTTGACAGGGATGATGGCCCTGGCAGGTGCGCAACCGTTGTCGCAGAAGTTCGAAAAAGTTGCTCGCAAAAGCCCGTTTGACAGAAATGTTTAAAAAGTGTTGGGTTTCCTACGAATCCGCAAGAGCGCGCGGGATGAGATTTTGACATTTTTTTGTTGAAAAACCATTGGTTTTTTGATGTTTTTATGTTAAAATCGCTCCGAACACTAAGCTTTTGGAAGGATTTCGTCTTGCGCGCGCGAATGTCCACTTTACCTTATTTTTTGCAAGGGATTCTTGAAATTTGATTATATTAGAACAAGAAATGTCATTTTATAGTGTTTTTTGCAAGGGAAAGCGGGGGGGAACAAAACAACCGGATCTTGATCACATCGAATTACCTGAGGCTTCCTCACGAAAATGATGAAAATGTAGCTGCGGCCTAGGCGGCGCAGGGGGGCCGTGCACCAGGGGTCCCAACAATAATTATTCTTTAGAATTAATAATGTTCAACAACAACAACAACAACAACAACAGGTACTACAACAACAACTACTACTACTACTGCAACAACAAAAACTGAGACCCTGGGGCGTCCATTGATTTTTGGTGTGGGAGCGTGCCGCTCTCCACAGCAGAACCATCGAAACCCACGAGACCCAGGGCTCCCTGGAGGGCGGCGGGGTGTTTCCTGGCATGGGCCTCCGCTGCAGGTGGGGAACAGGAGGGCGAGGACGGCCGAACGGCGGAGGACCTGCACTGCGGACAGAAGGGCCAGCGGAGGCGGAAGGCGCCTGTGCGCGCGGGCGCGGGGGCGGTGCTCGTGCGGGCGTGGCCCGAGCGTGGGCCCCACCCTCCCTGGGGAAGAAAGGAGTCCACTTCGGCTCGCCGCTCCTGGAGTGAGACCCAGCGCCCTCCACCTCCTGCTCATCCTGCATAATCATCATCATCATCATCATCATCATCATCATCATCATCATCATCATCATCATCATCATCATCATCAGCATCATCAGCAGCAGCAGCAGTAGCAGCATCATCATCATCATCATCATCATCACCACCACCACCATCTTCATCCTTCTTCTCCTCCTCCTCGTCCTCCTCCTCCTCATTGTCATCATCATCACCACCACACCAAGACCACCCTCATCCTTCTTATCATCCTCCTCCTCATTGTCGTCGCCATCATCATCATCATCATCATCATCATCATCATCATCATCATCATCATCAGCATCATCATTACCATCATCATCATCATCATCATCATCATCATCCTCATCATCATCACCATATCATCATCATCATCATCAGCAGCAGCATCATCATCATCAACATCATGATCATCATCATCAGCATCATAATCATCGTCATCGTCATGGTCATCATCATCATCAGCATCATCATCATCAACATCATCATCAGCATCAGCATCAGCATCATCACCGTCGTTGCGTCATCGCCACAATCATCATCACCAACACAACCAACTCAATCATCATCACCATCAGCAGTAGCATCATCATCATCATCATCATCATCAGCAGCATCAGCATTATCATCAGCATCATCATCAGCAGCAGCATCAACATCAGCATCATCGGCATCATCACCGTCGTCGTCGGCATCGCCACCATCATGATCACCACCACAACCATCTCAATCATCCTTACCATCAGCACTTTCATCATCATCATCATCAGCATCATCATCATTATCAGCATCAGTATCATCATCGTCAATATCATCATCAGCATCATCATCATCAGCATCATCATCAGCATCATCACCATCATCAGCGCCATCATCAGCATCATCACCATCATCAGCATCAGCATCGCCATCATCATCGTCATCAGCATCAGCATTAGCATCATCAGCATCATCATCATCGTTTTAATCATCATCAGCATCATCAGCACCATCATCAACAGCATCAGCATCATCATCATCCGCATCAGCATCGTCATCATATTCATCCTCATCACCATCAGACAGCATCATCTGCATCGTCATGCATCTCCTCCTCCTCCTCCTCATCCTCAACCCCATGCTCACCGCTCATCAATATCATCACTACCCCCAGCATCACCACCACCAACAACATCAACATCATCATCATCATCATCATCATCATCATCATCATCATAACCATCATCATCATCATCCTCATCATCATCATCATCATCATCATCATCATCGTCATCATCATCAGTATCATTATCATCAGCAGCAGCGTCATCGTCATCGTGATCATCATCATCAACATCAGCATGGTCATCATCATCGTCGTCATCGTCCTCGTCCTCATCATCATCATCAGCATCAACATCATTGGCATCCTATGTTCATCATATCATCAGCATAATCAGCATCATTGGCACCACCCAGCATCACCATCATCCTCCTCAGCATCATCATCATCATCATCATCATCATCATCATCATTAGCATCAGCATCATCAGCATCATCACCATCGTCATCCTCATAGTCATCATAATCGTCGTCGTTTTCGTCTCTGTCATCTTCGTCATCAACAGCATCGTTTCATCTGTTCAATGATCCCCCCTCCTCCTCTCCTTCAGCGGTGGCGCCTTCCGAGAGACGCCCAGGGACGTTGTGCTTCACGAGTTGGGCAACTGGCGGCCGCGCCTGCATGATGTAGGCCAACATCTGGCCTGTTCAGCTCGCGGCCGCCCCCACAAAAGCTCAACGCCTCCTAATCACGCTCCTCCACCTCTTAATCCTCACTGCTCCCGCTTCGTCCCACCTCACTGCAACCAATTCTTCCTCGTCGCCAAGCCAGACGTGTCGGCAGAGAGATTGAGACAATTCTTGACAGGCGTCATTATATGTGTAGACTAAGATCCCAAATATTGAAACTTCTGATAAATGCGCGGATGATGTGTGTCTGTGTGTCGCATGCTGAAACATTCGCCGACCCAGCCGGCACGTGCGAGGCTCTTCGACGCGAGGCCAGCCCAACCCAGAGTGAGGAACGCCAGCCTCGTTTGCATCGTCGTCGTCGTAAGGGAGGTCGATCAAATAAAGGGAATCCAACCATGTCGAAATAACGTCGAATGGAACCCTCTTCCTTTTGTCCCTTCCCTGCCGGAGTGGGACCTGGGGGGGGTTCTAAGGGGGTCCCGGGGGAGGTCCCGGCACGGGCCCCGGCCCCAGCCCCGGCCCGCCCCCGAGGAGACAGACCGCTCTCCTCCTCCACCTCCTCCTCCTCCTCGTGCTCCTTCTCGTCCTCATCCTCCTCATCTCCTCCTCCTCCTCGTCCTCTTCCTCCTCCTCCTCCTCCTCCTCCTCCTCCTCCTCCTCCTCCTCCTCCTCCTCCTCCTACTCCTTCTCCTACTCCTTCGCCTACTCCTATTCCTACTCCTACTCCTACTCCTACTCCTACTCCTACTTCTACTCCTACTCCTATCCTTATTCCCCATTAGAATATACTCCTACTCCCCCCTCAGGCCGGCCGATAGGGGCCGCATCCGGGTGGTCCCATCCTAACCTGTAAAAAACAATACAAAATCAATATTTTTCATATTTTTTCCTCTCGACATGGACGTCCTGTCGTCCACGGCGATAATCCATTGCAAAAAATACCACAAAGAGCACACGCGCGCGTTCATGTCAGAATCCTACCGAACACCGTGTGTTTGCAAGCATTTCAACATAAAAACATCAAAAACCCAATGCTTTTTCACAAAAATTGTACAAATTTCCCGCCCGGGCTCTCTTGCTGAAATCATAGGAAAACCATAGGAATCTTAAGAATTCGGTCAAATCCAGCGATTTCACGTCATCGCGCGGTGCACTCGCGATGCTCTGTCATGCACCCAGGCCGCGAATCCTGTGCAAAAAATACCACAAAGAGCACACTCGCGCGTTCATGTCAGAATCCTACCGAACACCGTGTGTTTGCAAGCATTTCAACATAAAAACATCAAAAACCCAATGCTTTTTCACAAAAATGCTTTGGGGTGTCCTGTCAGACCGTCGGGCTTCCTCCGGCCACCTCTGGCTTCCTGCGGTGTACCGGGCCATTCTCGACTCGTCTGGCAATGCGTGCGCGGCATTCAACACGCGCTCGCCAGTTCCCGTCGGCAACCGCCATCGCGGCCGCATCAGCTGTACCAAACCGGCTGGCCGGTGTGACTTCGGCCCCCAGTTGTGCCAGCTTTGCTTCTTATGTTGTGGGAGGGCGGGTGGGACTGGGCATGCCATGCTTGACTCGCTCGAGCTGGCTAGCTTGACTCCTACTCCTACTCCTACTCCCTCCTCCTCCTCCTCCTCCTCCTCCTCCTCCTCCTCCTCCACCTCCACCTCCTCCTCATCATCCTCCTTCTCCTCCTCCTCATCGCCCTCTTCCTCCTCCTCCTTGTTCTCCTTATCCTCCTCCTTCTTCTCCTTATCCTCCTCCTCCCCCTCCTCCTGCTCCTCCTCCTCCTCCTCATCCTCCTCCTCCTCCTTGTCCTCATCCTGCGCACTCCCCCGCCTTCCCTCCAACGGGATGGTTCCCACGAGAGCGACGCGAAAAAGGCCGCCGCTCTCGGAGGGATGGGGTGCGTCGGCCAGGTTCTTAGACTGGACATACCCGGGCGCGCCGCGGGGACCCGCACGACCCAGTAGCCAGCCTCGAGCACGGCCTCCTCCTCCTCATCTTCCTCCTCCTCTTCCTCCTCCTCCTCCTCCTCCTCCTCCTCCTCCTCTTCCGCCTCCTTCTCCTCTCCCGCCTCCTCCTCCTCCCTCCTCCTCCTCCTCCTCTCCGCCTCCTCCCTCCACCTCTCCTCCTCCTCCCCCTCCTCCTCCTCCTCCTCCTCCTCCTCCTCCTCCTGTCCTCCTCCTCCCTCCACCGCCCGCCCCATGTCCCAAGCCTGTGGCAGGTTCATCAGCTCGTGGTTGTCGTTGTCGTCGTGGTCGTCGTCGTCGTCGTCCTTCTGGGTCGGCGGCACCTGCCGTAAGGCCTTCACAATAAAATTACTGATGATGCTGTTTTCGACTCAGTATGCTACCACCCGTTGGCATTCCTCTGCTGCTCCATCTCCTCCTCCCGCCAGTGTTCCCCATGATCCTGGTCATCGTTGTCCTTCTCCTCTTGCGCTGACCATGAGGGCACAGCCCGTGGCATTCGAAACACTGATCCCCCTGTCTGTTCAGGACAAGGGAGTTGTCACGTCTCACGGGTGCAGGATGGAACGGCAGCTGCTGAGGACCTGATGAAGGCAGTGAAAGTTGCAAAGGCAGTTGCCGAGGCCGCCGAAAGCCGACTGCCCTGGACGCAAACATCCTCCCGACGATACACACGACTTGACACCACCGAGTGCAAACAATGCCAAGGGCTTCAGGAGGATCACCAAACACCTCCGAAAACCCGCCGAATCGCCGAAACCCTCCAGACCCCCCCGCTCTCCCGAGAGACGCGCCGACGATTTAGACGACATGGACTAGCCTCAACCCTCGCTCACCCTCCCAGCCCCGCTCCCGCCAAGAGAAGGGCTGGCGTGAGAAGGCGAAAGGGGAGGGGATGGGCGAGGGGCAGACGGGACGGAGGAGGGGGAGGAGAAGCGTGGGCACAGGCAGTGGGACGAGGAAGAGGAAACGGATGCGGAGGAGGAGGAGGAGGAGGAGGGGGAGGAGGAGGAGGCGGAGGAGGAGGAGGAGGACGAGGGGGAGAAGGAGGAGGAGCCGGAGGAGGAAGAGGAGGGAGAAGGGAAAAGGAAACGATCAAGATGTGCAACACATCCTTGCGAATCCCAAGTCCCCTCCTCACGGGTCCCCGCAGGCCATGGTTCTGCCGATCAGGCGAGCGCCCCGTTCTGAGAAGGAACTGTTATGTACCCTTTTGATAGTGAGCAGTTCTGCAGCTCTGAAGAGGTATGCTCCCACAGCTCCACGAGGTATATTCAGCAAGATCCCCGCATTTTGAAGAGGGCTGCGCCCCTCTGCGAAACTGCAGCACAAAATCCGGCAGGAGCCTTTCCTTGAAAGCGAACCGCCCTTCAGCCGTGCAGCTGTTACGCCTGTTCAAGCTCCTGGTGCTCGCACCCAAAAATTGAACAAACAAAAAAAACAAGCGAGGGCAACATATTGGAAGTGAACCAAAGTCCATTCCTCGAGCTGGCTCAAACTTTTTGAGACAAACGTGCGCGGCGCTGGAAGGCAGTCCCGCTCTGACGAAGGATCGCCCTCCACCCCGATAAATTATACAAGCTTGTAACTCAGATGTGCGCGGCGCGGAGGTGAGATCTCCACTTAGAAAACGAGAAGCTTCCTACTACCGCTGCAAACGCTTAAGACGAATGTGTGCGGCGTTATTGCGAGAGCCCCGTCTTGAAAACGGTGTTCCTCCATCCATATAGTCTGAACAACTTTCAAACTTCAGGAACATAGATGGTGAGGAAGTCTCAGGCGAAACGCCCGGCCCGCCCTAGCGGCAGGGAGGAGGTATACACAAAAAGAGGGCGAAGAGGAAGAAGAGGTGAAGCAGAAGAAGGACGACGGCGACGGCGACGGCGACGGCGACGGCGACGGCGACGGCGACGGCGACGACGACGACGACGACGACGACGACGACGGCGGCGTCGACGACGACGACGACGAACCTCACATCCTCGCTCCAGCCGCCGCAGGAAGGTGCGGGCGCGGCGGGCCCCAGACCCAGGCGCGGGGGACGCCGAGCAACTCGGCCGCCTGAGCGAAGGGAAGAGGGGGAGCCGCTCGGCAGGCAGGTGGGGGCGGTGGAGCCACTCCTCTCGGGAGCAAAGCAGAGGGGGGGATGGCAAGCAAGGGTGATGACGACGATGATGGTGATGGTGATGGTGATGGTGATGGTGATGGTGATGGTGATGGTGATGGTGATGGTGATGGTGATGGTGATGGTGATGGTGATGGTGATGGTGATGGGATGGTGATGGTGATGAGGGTGAGGATGAGGATGAGGATGAGGATGAGGATGAGGATGAGGATGAGGATGAGGATGAGGATGAGGATGAGGATGAGGATGATGAGGATGCGTATGATGACGACGATGACGATGACGATGACGATGACGATGACGATGGCGATGACGATGACGATGATGATGCTGCTGATGATAATGATAATGATAATGGTACTGATACTGAGGATGATGATGATGATGATGCTGATGATGCTGATGCTGATGATGGTGATGATGATGATGATGATGGTGGTGGCGATGGTGGTAATATGACGATGATGGTGATGATCATGCCGATAATGATGATGATGATGATGATGATGATGATGATGACGACGACGACGACGACGATGATGATGATGATGATGATGATGATGATGATGATGATGATGATGGCAGGAATCCAGAATCGAATCGATAAGTCGGATCGGCGATCGAAATGAATCGGATCGGCGGGAATCGGCAGCCGAGTCGGGAAAAGTCGAATCGGAAGAAATCGGCAGACTAGTAGGCCTTCATTAATAGATCGGAAGCCAAATTGGAATCCGAAATCGAATCGAATCGGAAACGGAAGCCATCGAAGTCGAATCGAATCGGGGGAATCGAAATGAGCCCGGTGATGGTGGTGATGATGAAAATAATGGTGGCGATGATGGCGACGATGATGGTGATGATGATGGTGAAGATGGTGGCGATGATGATGATGCTGCTGATGTTGATGATGACGGTGATGGGGGTGATGACGAGGACGGTGATGATGGTGGTAATGGTGACAGTGATGATGATGATGATGATGATGATGATGATGATGATGATGGTGATGATGATGACGAGAATGGTGAAGATGATGGTGCTGCTGATACTGATAATGGTGGAGATGTTAATAGTTATGATGCTCGTGATGTTGATGATGCTGATGATGTTGGTGTTGATGATGGTGATGATGGTGATAACGGCGATGCTGATGCTGATGCTGATGCTGATGACGAAGACGACGAGGATGATAATGATGTTTATGATGATGGTGATGATGATGGTGGTGGTAATGATACTGCTGTTGATGAGGATGAGGTTTATGATGATGATCATGACAATGATAATCATGATGACAAGTATGATGATGAGAATGGTGATAATGATCATGATGATGGTGATGATGCTGATTATGATGATGATGACGATGATGATGATGATGATGATGATGATGATGATGATGATGATGATGGTAATGGTGATGATGATGGTGGTGATGATGGGAATGATGATGCTGATGGTGCTGGTGATGATAACGAAGGGGAGATCATCCACCGCCTTGCAGGCGCTTGGCGGTCTACGGGGCCACTTTCAGGAGCAGAGTCGAGGGGGAGGACGGCAAGGATGATACAGATGCTGATGATGCTGATTGAGATGGTGGCGCTGGTGATGACGATGCTGACTGTGACGATGATGGCGATGGAGATGCTCATGCTGATGGCGATGTTGAGGCTTAAGATACTGATGACGATGGTGAAGCATCCACTAAGAAGGCCCTCCCCAACAGCACTCGACAACTCGAAGTTGAATAAACTGCTCTCAAGTGTGTAAATTACACACCAGATGTCGTGTGCCAGGCGGGCGTGGCTTTTTTCCTTCGTGAGACGGCTGGGGGAGAAGGGGAGCGAATAAAGGAGCCCAGGGACACACAAATGAATACACACAAATCCCTGGATTCCCCATATTTTCCCCTGGGTTTTCGTCTTCCCCCCCCCCCACTTCCCATGTTTTCCCACATCTTCCTGGGAGTCGACGATGAACTGTGTCTGTGCGTTTCTTTCCCTCCTGAGCGAAGGAGGACGAGGACGACGACGACGCCGAGGAGCACAGACAGCAGGAGCCGAGCTGGGGATCGGGGGCCCCACGCAGGGTGGCAGGGTGCCAACGCGGCCGACTGCGCTGCCAGCGCGCCCGCCCGCTCCCTCTTTGAGCAGGGACCGACCGTCCCGGCATTCCTTTAGGCCTATCATGAAATGTCGTCAGAACCCCAAAATGTTCTAAGAACAAAATCAATGCTCTTAGAACATAAGCCCCATGTGTTAAAGCAATACAGTCCCAACCAGAAATGTTCTAAGAACATGTCGTGGAAACCACAAAAGGTCCTTAGAATATTGTTTAGTAGGCCTACAGCACGCCATGGGACGCAGAGAGACATACTAATACTACATGTCCGCCTTGGAGGCGCGAGTCCGACCCGAACATGCAGTACACTCATCTTGTAGTGTAGCGTTCCCCGAGCGGTGTGGCCAGAAAGCGCCCGCCACGACGCATATACTAGAAGACTTCTAGGCGCTCGCGTCGCCCCGGGGGGGGGGGGGCGGCGACGCACACATGGTGTCAGCACGTTGGGGTGACGCCGACGCCAGGACGCTTCGCCACTGCTTGACCTCTGCGCGGAGGGGGCCGGGCCGCTGACACGAGCGCCGGGGCCGCGAGGGGCCTCTGCGAGCGCCTCTCGGAAGGGGCCCTGGGACACGCAAGCGAGCGAGCACAGGTCGCAAGAGTCCCCCTATTTTCCCATATTTTCTGGGTGTGTGACTTTCCCCCCTCTGCCCATGCTTTCCCACCTCTTCTGGGGGAACGACGATGTGTTGTGTCCGTGTGATTTTGTTCCCTCCTGCCCGCTGGAAGGGGCGGGCGAACCGTGGGCCGGGGAAGGTCGTTCTGAGTTCCGCGGCTGGCACGATAGCTGCGCACGCAGTTTCAGAGATGGGCCTGTTTTCCATCTCCACCACCATAAGGTGGAGGGGTGAGGGGGTCCTCCTCCCCCTCTTCTTCCTCCTCCTCCTCCTCATCCTCATCCTCCACCTCCTTACCCCCTCCAACTTATGGTGGTGGTGGTGGAAAACAGGCCCATCATCCAGCACAGGCGGGAGAGACGGGTTTGCAGCAGCAGCGCTTCCCCGCCTTCCGCAGCCGCGTGCCTCGAAGAGGCCCCACGCGAGGACCGCGCCTAGCAGCACGCATGTTGCACGGGGCACGCGCTGAGGGCAGGAGCATGAGTCACTGGGCGGAAGGGGCACGCCCAGGCCACAGGCCGCACGCAGTCGGCCCGTAGGATCGGGACGGGCGGGAGGGACGCAAGCGCCCTGGAGGGCCACGCCGACGCCTCTGCGAGCGGGGCGGGGCCTGCGGAAGCGGCCAAGGATGGGCCCGAGGGGAAGGATGCAAGGAAAGCCTCCTCCTCCTCCTCCTCCTCCTCCTCCTCCTCCTCCTCCTCCCCCTCCTCCTCCTCCCCCTCCTCCCCCTCGAAAGTGGCTCATCCTCACTACGCGGGGTGACTGTACACCCCCACTCCTTCAATGAACAATCAGATGAGAGCGGCACCGCCTTCTTCTCTCCTCGCAGCACCTCGCAGAGGCGCCTCAGCATCACCTCACCAGGCCCGCTGCGCAGCGGACCGTGCGGTCGGGCACGAGGGAACAGAGGGGCGCGAGGGTGCGGCGACCCCTTCGCGGAAGCCGTGGGCGTCGCAGCCGACAAGTTCTGGCAGGGTACCCCCCGGGGGAGCGAGAGGCTGGAGGTGCAACCATGCGAGGCGGTGATTTATCCATATCCACCGCCTGGGCACCGACGCCCTGGTGCCCCAACGGGCGGTGGAGATGGATATATTTAGGCCCCCGGGGGCCCGAATATGTCCATATCCACCGCCTGCCGAGGTCCCCGAAAATTGATCCTCCAGGCGGTGGTCATGTACAAGTTCCCGCCTCGGACAACCACCACCGCCAGCGCCATGAGAAGGCAAGGGACGGCCAGCTTCCCTGCGTCTGGGCCTCGGGACGCCCGCTGCGGGCCCTGGGGCCAGCAGGTGGCGGCCCAGGGCGCAACGAGTGCACACGGAGGAAAGGGCCGAGAGGTGGGGAAGTCAGAAGGTACCGATACTGATGGGCCTGTTTTCCACCACCACCACCACCACCACCATTAGCTGGAGGGGGGAAGGATGAGGAGGAGGAGGAGGAGGAGGAGGAGGAGGAGGAGGAGGAGGAGGAGGAGAAGAAGAACCCCCTCCCCCTCCAACTTCTGGTGGTGGTGGTGGTGGTGGTGGTGGTGGTGGTGGTGGTGGTGGTGGTGGTGGTGGTGGTGGTGGTGGTGGTGGTGGTGGTGGTGGTGGTGGTGGTGGTGGTGGAAAACAGGCCCATCAGATACCGCTACTCCCCAGACCTCTCCTGGGGCGCCTTCTGACCACGAGTTCGAGGCGAATCCAGCGGTGGCGACGAGGATCTCCCAAGAAGAGAAAAGACGAGGCAAACGCAGAGGCACGGGCACCCTTCCTCCTCTGAAGGGAGGGCTCTGGAGCCCCGCGTCTTGGGAGCCCCTGGAGAGGTCCTGCAGGGTCGGCACCCGAGGCCCTGCCGTGCCCTCCCGTGCAGGCGGGACGCGTCTCGGGAGAGGTCGCGAGACGCGGCAGCCTGCCCGGCATGCACGGAAGCGCTGTCGGGGTGCGCCAGAGTGCGCCGCGTGCGAGCGGGCAAGCGCGAAAGCGCCCTCGGAGCGCGGCAACGAGCGCCGCGTGCGAGCGGGCGCGAGCGGAGGCGCTCTCGGCGCACGCCGAGGGTCGCAGCGTGCGAGTAGGCACACACGGGAGCACTCTCGGGGCGCGCCGACGAGCGCCGCCCCAGCCACCGCGCCGCCTGGATGATCAGCGTCTGGTGCTTCGCGCGCGAGTACACGTTTGCGCACACCTTCTGCATGGACGACTCCGTGCAGTTGGTGACCTGGTGCCCTCCACTTTCAGGGGAGGAGGGGGGAGGAAGGGGACCGAGGTCGGGTGGAGCGGGGAGGGGGAGGGAGCAGAGGAGAAGAGAGAGAGGAGGCACTGCGATGAGAAGGGAGGAGGAGCAGAGGGAGCAGCGAGGAGGAAGTGAAGGGAAGGGGTGCTGACCTTCCCGAGAGGACCCAAGGCACAAGCAGACGGAAGACGCGCGGAGCGGCCCCCAGATCCAGCAGACGGATACCCCAGCCTCCCACAGAGGAAAGATGTTCAACATGTTTCCAATGAGGTCAATGACCAAGAAGGGGGGAGGGAAAGGAGAGGAGGTGTCCAAAAACCCTTTCGAAGCTTGGCAGACCCTGCTAGGACAACTAGAACCTCCAACAATATCACAAAGCCCTCCTGACCTCCCTCCTCGTCCCCCTCCCCCCGACTCCTCCCCGTTCGCAGCCCAGTATCCCAGGCCTTCTCGAAGTAGCAGTCCAAGCCACCCTCGGCTCCTTGCGAGTTGGATCGGGAGAGAGCTCTCGGAGAAACTGCCAACCTTGAGAACAAGTCCTGCCCAGAACAGACCTCCAACGTCGCACAATATCAGGCGCGCTCAGAGGGGGTTCGTCCAAGAGGGGGGGCGCAAATCATGGCCGGCGGCATGTGCGCGGCCCAGGGGGGGCCCAAGCACGTATTGAGAAGAGGCGCCGCGAAATCGGGAGACATATCATGGCCCACGCCATGAGATCCACCACCCCTCAACATCACCCCCCTCTTGGCCGCCCCCGACAATAGGTGTTCTGGTTGCTGTTCTGCTTGTTCGGTATCCTGGGTTATTCTCCAGACCCCAAGACCCGCAACAATGAATCCACAGCGAAAAAACACTCCCTGGAATGAAGTGGATAGTGCCATTCCATGGCACGTCGTGGGGGGAAAAAAGACGTCGAAGATCTTAGTACGCATTGAGTTGCCTGGCCGGAAATAACGCCTTTTCCGGGCGTATGGAAGTAGAGACGTTATCCGTGTATGATTGAGAAGGCGCTGACGTACAGCAAGAATTGGAATTGCCAATACCTCATTTCAACAACGGATGAGAAGCGTCAGAAGACAGACTCACCTGATTGTCTACGTCGGTGAGTCTTGGGCAAAAGTAACCATTGCGGGGACTGTCGCCACAAGTCTTGCACGAAATACATGATCGAACTTCCGTGTGCTCTCACCCTCCCCAGAAATCCGACGCCCACGTCATGAAAAAAGCGCCGCGGTGAGACTTGTGAGACCGACCAGAAAACTGAACCCATATGTACGCATGCTTTCTAAAGCCCGACATCGATACGTGAGTGGCCCGGGGCCAAAATCAGGACGAAGAACCCCGTCGTGGTGTTTCACGCAGCCCCCAAAAGTCAGGACCCCCCTCCCAGCCAAACCTCCCAACATCTCCCCTGCCCATGCGCAAGGCGGTGCAACTTGATGACCTCATGCGGCGTTGATGGGGATGGGGGTACGCGCGATCTCGCCCCCTGCCCCACCACGCACTCATCCACGCGCAAGGCGTGCAGATTGACGAACTCGTGCACGCACACTGGCAATGGCGTTCATGGAGAATGGTGCGCGCGTGTTTCGCGCAGCACAAAGAATGGACTCCTGCAACGCGCGCTGCTTGCAACTTCCATCGCAAAAGCGAGTATCCCACGCGCCACGATCTCGTGCTACCGAATAGGCTACAGTGAAAGCCAAGGCTCTCGATAGGTGCCCCTATGCTTTCTTATGGCGTGCGAACGTGCGCACGCAGAAAAAGTCATACTGTTTATTGCGAAGCTGGTAGCGATGATTAGATGCCCCACGGACTGCCGAGGTACCCTATGCCTGTCGAATAAGTTTAACATGTGCGCGCGCCTGTACATCGCGAAATACAAGCTGATCGGGACTGTTAGAGAGCGCACTTGTAAGATCAACGCATGTGCACCACATGCGTCCGATGTGCACCGCAGAGTACGATGTGCACCGCATGGTACGATGTGCAAGGGGGGGTTCTGACCCCGTATGGCACGAAGCAAAGCGAAAAGAGAGACAGAGAGAAAACAATAGATAAAACAAGGACGGTGCGTGTTTTGCTCCTGCCGGGTGCACAGACTGGGCTGCGCGCGCTTGGGCGCCCAGGAGGTGCCGCACCGGCGCCTTCGCGCACCAGGTAGGAAATGGGAATGGGGCCACCCATTGCCTTCGCCAGGACATGAGGCACCAAACATCGATACGAAACCTCGGTGTACTTCGTGCCTTGCTGGAAAACAGATACTCTGGATCGCTTGATAATCGCCCCCCCCTTGGAGTGCCCTGGGGGAGTGCCTGGGGGGGGGCCGCGGCGCGTCCGCGGGGTCTGGGGTTCGTTCCCTTCCCCGCTGGGGCGCGGGGTGGTGCCAGGGGGCGTTGGCCGCGCCGCGTTTTCACGTGTGTCACCCCCGGGTTGATCAATAAAAGTTCGGAGTACATGATACGAGGCATACTGGTGCCAGAGAACGGAGGCGGAGGGCAGGCGGAGGAGAGAGGAGGCGAAGAGGGGGGGAGCGCCTGCTCCGCACGCCCCGGGGTCCGCGTAGGCCCAGGGCCCCACCGGCAGCCAGGCGAGGTCGTGCTCCAGGGCGTAGGCGAAGGACATCACCTGGGCCCCCTCGCGAAACCCTCGGAAGCGCGCCGCGGGGGGCACCGAGACGAGCCCCTCTCGGAAGACGGCGGGGGACTTCTCGGGAGCCCCCCAAGGCCTTCTGAGAGGCTGATCTGTGGCTTCGGCCCAAGGCTTATGTTGTTCCCATCCTACTTAAGGACCACATCCCAGAAATAATTTCGAGCACCCGAAAAAGTGTCAAAAGAGTGTCGAAACAGTGTCGAAACAGTGTCGGGCGAGTGTCTCCCAGGGCCCGACACTTGAAAACCCTTGAGTTTCGGTACTTTTTCTGGCGCTCGAAATTCATTCTGGTGATCAAGGCTAAAGTAGGTTGGAGCATCATAACCCAAGGCGTGGCAAGCTTCTCAGAACGCCAGGCGCCCCCTCGGAACCTTCTGAGACAGGGAGACGGACAATGTCGTGCACATCAAGTGTCGGAGGCCCGCGCGGACTTTTTGGCTCGGCGCTGGACCCTCCTCCCAGGCGCGCAGAGCGCGCCAGGGGCGGTGCCAGAGGCGCCTCCAGGGAGTTCCAGCGCAGATCCGAGAAATCCGCGCGGACCCCTGGAAGGTGTTCCTTGTGTCATTGTTTGTCCCCGACGAGCACGATTGACCAAATAAGGGCCCCTAACCCTTTGGCAAGGGACCTCAGTTAGGAGGACAAAAAAACACTAGGGAAAAGGGGGTCCTTTCTATGGATACATCAGACCAGACCGCCCAGAAGTAGCACCCCTAATGCGAAGACGGGGACCTTGTGAAGCCACGTCTTCATCGCGTTATTACGGTTGGGGGCCTTTTTCTGTGGATGTATCAGACCAGCCCGCCCAGAAGTAGTACCCGGAATGCGAAGACGGGGACCTCAGAGAGGTCACGTCTTCATCGTGTTATTAGGGCTAAGGGGTTCTCTTGTGCCCGATGAGAGAATAGAGACCTCCTAGATGGGGTCCGAGTACATGGGGTCGGAGGATCGCGCCGCATCGCCGATACATCGGCGATGCACCCGCGACGTCGACGTGAAGCAAATCGGGCTGCACATCGAGCCGCATCGGCGATGCATCGGCGACGCGACGCGATCCTCCGACCCAACCTGATCGGACCCCACCTGGGAGCCCCAAGAATAAGGTCGGGCGTGTCCCCCTACAGGCGCATTTTGGGCGAAAAAAACAATCCCCCCAAAATACCCCAAACTAGTTTTGAAAGAATTGTAAAAAATCGTTCCCAGGCTATCTTTTGACTGTTTTTGAACATTCCCCCTGCAGAGGGACAGGCTCGACTTGACCCAGGAAGGAGAGGAGGCTCGCCCCGTCTACCCTCCCCCCCCGGGGCGCGCCGCCAGTGCCCCCGAGCGCCGCGCGACGAGCGACGAGCCCTCCCTAGGGAACCGATCTGTCTACACCGACGCTTTCCCCGACCCTGCGCTGAAGTTCGCACAGGTACGCGGATCCTGGCGTGTACGGGATCCTGATGTTTCGTTGTTTCCCCGCGAACACGGGGAAAAAGTATACACCAGACCACCCCGACGTCGTCCCTGGCCCTCGAAAAGTCGTAGGATTGAAAAACGGCCCGCCACTGGCCATGTATATGTTCCAGTTTCCGACTCCCGTGCGGAGGGCGGGCGGCGCCCCCGACAGGCGCCACCGCCGAGCCCCTCCAGAGAGAGAGGGCCGATAAGGGGCAGCCGCGGCGCGGCCGCGGAGGGAGACAGCACGGGGGCAGCGGCCCAGACGGAGCGCAGGAGGGCCGCTTCCTTCTACTCGCGGCGACAGCGGGCGTCCGGGGGTGGGGGGGGGGGGGGGGAACGCGGCCACGGAGGGGCCATACATGGACATGAGATTCGAACCCTGTGGCCCAAGATGCCCCCCAGACCCCCGAAATAAATATTGATGGCGTGGCGACGTGGGGGGCGTGAGTGGACAGAAACATTCGAACCCCAAAGCACCGCCTTTACTGAGATCGACATTGATGTCGGGGGCGCGGGGGTGATTTAGAATCTCCCTCGAATGTGTAAGGGTTCGAATATATTGTCCATCTACTGGAAGCAGAAAGGGGGGCTGTGGCCAGGACTGAAGGCAGGAGAGCGTTTTTTGTTCTGACCGCGGCGAGAACGGGAGTTCTGCGGGGGGGGCGGGGCGCATACTGCAATGCCACGCTCCCCGCCGTGACAGCCTGTGGTGCGAGACGCTCTGGGGCGCTCTGCGGCAGCGCTGGGGACGCGCTGGGCGGGGAGGAGCGTTACGTTACGAAGGGAGGGAGAGGGGGGGGGGGGGGGGGCATAACGCGCGTTACAGTCGGCCTCGATTGGACAGGACACGCGAGAGGACACAAGACCCTTCCGAGGGCCACATCGCCGTAGGAGTGTAAGAAGGCACGTGTCGCGAGGCACAGGACACAAGGGCACCCTTGAGCTGGTAGGGTCGACCTACTAATCTGGGCCGACTGTATGTATGGCCCGGAGGGTGAAACCAGACACTCTCACGGCTACGACGGAACGCGGAGAGTCGGCGTCGATCTTGGACATCGTCCATCTTGGACAGCGTCGGTTCGCGGAGCCTCCTCGCGAATCGGCGACGGCCGGCACGGGCCAGGGCAGATACCAGCGTCGGCAAGTTCCCGCGACATCCCGGCCACGGTCCCCGTGCTGCTGCCCCCGAAGCCAGGAGAGCGGAGGCGCGAGACCCGGTGCCGCGCCGGCCACCGCGGTCGCGCGCCTCCCCGGCGCGGCCTCGGCTGCGCTCGAGCGGAGGACGTCGCCGGGGCCCCTCTCGCCGGCTCCCAGGGGCTGGTGGTCGAGGCAGGAGGGAGCAGGGAGGAGGGAGACATCTCGGGGCTGGTGGTCCCACGGCAACGCCCAAAGTATGGAGGAGATCTGAATCGGCCGATCGCGGGCGCGCGTCTCCCTGACGCGACCTCGACTACACTTGAGCGAAGGACATCACCGGGGCGCCTCTCGCCTGCTCCTGGCTGGTGGTCTCACAGTACTGCCCAAGGTATCTGCAGGAGGAGATCTGATTCGGCCGATAATCAAACACACGTTTGTCAATTCCGTCATACGCTCCCAGCCAAACAGCCTGACCAAAGATATACCCACTCCCTTCCCCGCATACATCCTCAAAGGAAGGATCTCGACAGCTCGCTCCCAGAACCCCCTCGAAATTCAAGACGCGTCGTGGCGCTCGTTACATCGAGGCATCATGGAACTTGCAGGAAATTGAGCCAGGTCGAGTCCCCGCTTTTTAAAAGCCCAACCAGCCACCTCTGGTGAGCTGTGTTCCTTACGGCCCTAGGGGACCCATCGTATCGGCATCCCTCTCGAGAGGGGCACAGAAGCCGTGGATCCCCCAGTGGGGCAAGGAAGACAGCTCCCCTAAGTGTGGCTGGTCACAAGACACTTGAGGCAACTGCCGTGCCAAGGTGTGCATAATAAATGCGAGTATTGTGAAAACCTAGATTTTCATCATGTACCTGGAGTTTCTTATTTCACCTGGCACTTCACTCGCACTAGCGTCGCCGTGCCACATGTTGCGCTGCGTCGATGTCGCCTCGTTCCCCTTTCATGGGCCTGCGAGAAAGGCACCATCCTGCTGGCAAGCGCGATGGAACCCACTGCACGCCGCAGCGCTGCCTCTCATTCAGATGCAAAGCGGCACTGTCCCCGTCGTAGTAGCGCCGCGCACCCGCACTGGCGAAGAGCGAAACGCAGCTGGGGGTACTGTCAGGCACTCGTCTTCACGTCACTGGCAACTGGGATCGTCACCCTGTCTCGTGCGCGGGAGGCTGCGCGAAGTGTGTCCCTGGAGAAGTGGCGATTGGCCTCCCGTGCGCGTCCACGCACTGTGACTGCCTGCAGAGGCCCCCCCCCCGCCCAGGTGTGCATGCCCGACCCGAAGCCGGCGTCCATGTGAGAGCACACCTCGGCCGGGAAGGTGCGAGGACAGTACAGTCGGACCCAGGCCAGAAGAACATCCCTCTAGAACATGAGACCCTCCGTCGGCCAAAACAAACAGAACATCCGAGGGCACCCTGCCCAGGATGTACAAGAACATCCAACAAACATGAAGAACATTAGGGTACACTCCCCGAACTGACCTCGATCTTACACCTCGGTCCGACTGCATGGGGAAGCGGGGCGCGGGATGCTTACAAGCCCATCCAGGAGAGCCCCCAACTCCTCTCCCATCCCCTTCTCATCCGTGTCCTCGTCGTCGTCGTTCTCCTCCGTAATCCCTTCTCCCCGTCTCAAAGCCTGTCAGGGCGGGCGGCAGTTTGCGAGTGTCGTCGACCTACTCACCAAGACCCGCCCCACCAGCGTCACCCTCCCACCCCCTGCGATATCCTTTGGGGTTCCACATCGTCCTCCTGTGCCACCGCCCCTTGTGACTCAAGAAGCTCCCCCCTGCGATATCCTTTGGGGTTCCACATCGTCCTCCTGTGCCACCGCCCCTTGTGACTCAAGAAGCTCCCAGAGGCTGCCGAAGCCCTCTGGGGGGGTAATCAGCTGCATACCTGGTGGATCCTAGGCCGCTATCGCTGACACGTGGATGGATGCTTGCCGAAGCCTGGCCGAAACAGGCACAGAGGGAGGCGCAGCGCGCGCGGGCGCGCGCGCGCGCATCACCACTGCACGAGCGAGGAAACAGGGCAAGAGCGGCGAGGGCCTGGCCCAGTCGGCGCTGGAAGTGGCCAATAGGAAGTCCCTCGAGTGAGGGGGCGGCGTGCGCGCGGGAAGCCATCGAAACTCTGCGCGGCCGATCGGCGGTGAGCCCGGTGCAGAGGCCCGAGGACCTCGAAGGACCCCCCCCCGCCCGGCGACGGGCTGGCCTGGCCGCTCATCGGCACGCCGAAGCTCGCGGGCCACACTTGTATCCATGTCCACTGCGTCTTGGAGTTTTGAGCTCCCTTCACCAGAAGACCAGAGGCGCAGTGGATATGGACAAAGTTCTTACCCCTGTAGAGGCTAGACAGTGTTACACATCCACTGCGCCTCGGCCTCTTGGAGCCCCCTTCCCAGAAGGTCCAAGATGCAGCGGATCTGGATGCCAATCATACCCGCAAGAGCTGCGCAAACTGAACGAGCGAGCTGGCGGGGAGAGACCTAGTGTGGGAAGCGACTTCACATTTCGCACTGGGGATGGTGGACGGGGGCCCACCCGAAGGCCCCCGAACAACCCAAGCTCCAGACTCGATGTTGGTCCGCTGTCAGGCTCATCCACCGTGGCCGATCTTCAGCGCGAGCCCTTTTCTCGGCCCCAGCTCGGGACTGGGTAACCGAATCGAGGGCGCGCCTGGCACCCACCCCCTCCCCCCCGATCACTGCCGAACAGGCGGGGCTGTCGCGCATGACCCTGTCGCGCTTCGCCACGCCAGTCCCTCCACCTGTCGGAGGTTGACACAGCTCTGCAGCCGTCTCAGCGAGATGGCAGCTGCGAGCTCTGCTCACCTGGCCAATGCTTTTTTTCAACGCCACTCCCAGCGCAGAGCGGGGATGAGGGAAAAGACGGCCATTCGGCCTGAGGTCCGAAAGCGTAGAGCTGCAGCGAGAGACGGCACCGACTGCGCGGCCATCTGAGCCACGATGCCAACCGCGGCGCGCTGGACACGCCACCGATCTTCTTCTGGGAGCTGTCAAGGACGCTGACTCATTGCAGCTGCACTCGCCTACCTCCGCTGCCATCATGCGACGGCAAAACTTGCGACGCCCCTCGAGCTTCTTCCCAGTATCGTCGGCCCACGCACGATGCAGGGTGCCCAGGCTGAGTTGGTAGAGGCCTCCTACATGGGGTCGGAGTACTGATACATCGGCGATGCATCGGCGATGCACCAGCGATTCATCGTCGATGTCGGCTATGCATCGGCGACGTCGACGTGAAGCAAGTCGGGCCCCACATCGAGCCGCATCGCCGATGCATCGGCGACGCAGCGTGATCCTCCGACCCCGTCTACTCCGACCCCACCTGGGAGGCCTAGTTGGGTTTAGTCGGCATATCAAAGCTCCGAGACCCTCAGGGCTCTGGCGGCCATCTTGCCCACAACCAGAGGGGGGGCGGCGGCAGGCCCCCCTACGGGCCTGGCGGTCGGGGGGGGCGGCGGCGGATGCTGAAGGCCTTGAGAGAGGCGAGGCAGGGATAGGAGGGGAAACTGGGTGATGGGCGGCTAACCTTACGTCGGGCGTGCCCCTCCACAGGGGGGAATATTCAAAAATAGTTTTTTTGTTTTAATAAAAAAATCTGGGGACGAGTTTGATGTTTGGTTGACCACTTAGGAGTATGCTTTGTTATCTAATGTGTCGTCCAAAAAAACACACTGTAGAGAGACATGCCCGACTTAAGGCTAACCCCGACTCGCCAATCACCTCAACACTGCGAATCGCCTGCGTCAGTCTAGAACACGCTAGGTAGCAATCGTACGCACGTACTTATACACAGCTATCTCTATGTATATATGTATTTGTATACATACATACATACATACATACATACAGACAGACAGACAGACAGACAGACAGACAGACAGACACACATGCATGCATACATGTCCCAGAACCATCGCGCGCGCTTCGCGCACGCTCAGGTTCTAGCAGGCCTCAGGCCTTGACGAGTCCAGTGCTCTACTGAAATAGTGGACCACAGATGGTTCGAACGGGCAGTGAAGAAGTGTCCATAACGCTGAACTCATTATGGGTAACGATAAGCATGTCAATCCGCATTCTGGAAGGCTTTCGGGGAACATAGTTGCGTAGGGGGCGGAGGCCTGATTCATCGGGTTCAAGGGCTTCTGGGAACATGGGTTTGTGGGGCGTCTTGGGGAGCCTGTTGGGACGTGCCGTCGTCGTCGTCGTCGTCGTCGTCGCAATGTCGTCGACGCCTCTTGGGGCGCACCGTCGTCGTCGTCGTCGTCGTCCTCGTCTTCGTCGTTTTGGTCGTCGTCGTCGTCGTCGTCGCAGTCGGTTCAAGAGGGCACTTGGGGCAACGTTGTGCGAAACGATCCGCGGAGGGCCGCGAAAAGGCGAACAGTCATGTTCCCAAATAATTTCCGAGACAGCTCTCTGGTAGCGCGATGTTACTTCGGAGCCTCTGGAGACTCTCGAGCCCATCATGAACCATGTCCCAGGCAAGCTTCCTGGGGACATGATTTGTTGGGGTGTGTTGGGGCGCCTCATGGGCGTTCCCTGGGGGCCCCTTGGAAGCCTCCTGGGGTTTCCTGGACGCCTCTTGGGGGCCTGACAGGGCTTCGTGGGAGCCTCTTGGTGGCTTCTGAAGGCCTACTAGGGGCCTCTAGGGCCAGAGACCTCGAAATATCGGCTCGCGGTCCCCGTTCTGGGTCCCATCTTGGGGCGCTCTCGGGGCACACTTGGGTTGTCTGGGGAGCCTCCTGGGCCGTCTTGGGGCCCTCTTTGGGGCCTCGTGGGCCGTCGTGGAACGATCTCAAGGGCCTCCGAAGCCGTGAGAGAGCGCTGGGATGCGGGAAAAGCGAAAACGCCAAAATCTTTCAAAAACCCTCGGACAATGAATCAATTTTGCTCCCAGGGCCCTCCTGGGGAGCCTCTTGGGTCCGTCCTGGAGAGCGTTGGAGTCCTCATCGGTCGTCTTCAGGGCATTTTGGGCGTCTTCGGGGCCTCTTGGGATTGTCTTGGGCCCTCTTGGGACCCCCATTAGCCTGTCGTGGCCTGTTTCGGGCGGGCCCGGGCCGTCTCGGGAGCTCTGGAACCCCCCCAGAACCCAGGGGGCGCCCATGAGGGGCACAGGCAGCGGCCCGGTCCCCCCCCCAGCCTACTCCAATGTGTGTGTATGTATATATATATATATATATATATATATTATATATATATATATATATATATATATGTATATATATATATATATATATATATATATGTACACACACACTAGGACCACGCGCGCGCTATGTGCGCGCTCAGGTTTCTAGCGCAGGCCAGGGCGCATCCATGCCACAGTGGCTTGATGTCTCGACGCTTCAGTTCGAGAGTTGCGGGGTCGTCGGAAGTGACGGCCCTACGACGACGAATACGACGACGACGACGACGACGACGACGACGACGACGACGACGACGAGGACGTCCACGTCCTCCTCGGCCCTCCTCCTCCTCCTCCTCCTCCTCCTCCTCCTCCTCCTCCCGCCTTGTCCTCCTCGTCCTCGTCCTCCTCGTCCTCTTCGTCGTCCGCCGACGTGTGGAAGCGCATGCGACGGGGGTTGCTGCGGCCTGAAGGCCAAACTTGGCTAAACAGCCCTGGAGCTAACGGCCCCCCCTTGACACGTGGAGTAACTCAATTGAACTCCCCGCGCATTGTTCAATGCTCACTGTTCCTCCCCTGTCTGTGGTGCGTGTTAGCGGTTCCCGAAGCGTCCTCTGGCCCCGGGGAGGTTGTGGGCACGCGGAGGCCCAGGGGGGCACGATTGCAGGAGAGGTTTTGGGTCAGTATGCGCCCACTCTCAGAGGATCTCGGGGCTCGCAAAACTTCCGAGACGGGCTAAAAGTACCCCGAGAGGCCTCAAGACGGCCAAGAATCGCCGAACGAGCGGTTGAAGACGCCAAAACTGGTCGCTGGGCGAAATGTGTTCCGACAGTCGTGTCCTGGAACGCTCCGACTGCCGCCGTCGCAGGGGCGGTAAAGCACTCGAATACGCCAGGATATGTTTTCACCGCCTCTGGTGCCACCAAGAGCGGAGGCAATGCGCGCGCAACGCTTCCACCTCGCAAACATATTGCCCGCGAAGGGGAAGACTCGCCCGCGCCTGAGAAAGTTGGTTGCTGCACCTGGCGCAGCAGAATTCGACAGCAAGCCGCGGTGCTGGCCCGATCAAAAAGTATCGCCGCGCCCCCTCGTCGCAATATGTTTGCCTGAGGACGGGAACATTCGGGCACGCCTGCATCGTATCTCCGGTGAATCCCCT